ATTCAATTCAAACAAAATGTTATGAAGGTGAAACTAGTGTAGCAATTGTTTAATCGATATGAAGCTAGAGCAATGCAGTATGCAAAAATGTACTTAAAGGGGATTGCCCACTCTTCATAGACTCTTCGTCCATGGGTGCCCACATATAAAAGCATATAGATATGATAATATGCAATTAAAACAATGAAATGGTTAAGGAATTACTTTAAAAAAAGTCGGGGTTTTGAAGATATATAAGTTATTATTTTCACAAATGCAGTTTTTTTAACAACTATTTTTATCGATTTTATCGCGTTTTATTTCTTTGATTTTTAATTTCAGACGTTTCGGGTGCTTTCCAACACCCATGGTTACGGCGGACTGAGGTGACTGACGTCTCAATGTCAGTGTTAACCCGGAGTACCTTCAGATTTTTAATTTTTATTTATGGTCCGATCTACAGAATGAACTTATTGTGTCTTGAAGTCTTGCAATGGTATGCTTGGGTTTAATTTTAATTTCATTAATTACAGGGTCCCAAGCAGGTGGTAGTACCAAGCCTCCTTCTCTATTGAATTTTTTTTTTATTTCAATAGTCTCAGGTATCGGTCCTTGATAGGAATTGATGTACCTTTTAGAGTATTTGTGGTCTATCAAATCTTTTTTATACGTCTATCTGGTTGGGGCCGTCCAGGATATGATCAAAAACTGCAAACTTCCCTGAACCTTGATGCTTCATGTCAGCTCGCTTCAAGATGTAGCCAATCTTGTCTGTGACACCCCTGACAAATGCTAGTACTGTACATGCTTGACTGTGGCCGGCTTCACTCGGTCACTGTGACGTAAGCGCGGGCCTGAAGCTTGTTGACGTGCAGAACCTGCTTGACGTGCTGAAGCTCGACGGCCAGATGTTTGCTGCCACAGATCCCTTGTGCTCTCTGTAACAAAGATTTGCTCACGGTAACTAACTGTGAAGGATAATGGCGAAATTCATTGTTTTCTATACACAGTGTGACCTATGGTGTTGTTAGAATTTGGGATGACTAACGCATCTAGGAAAGCTAAGGAATTATCATTAGTCTGATGCCGTGCCCAACCCAAATACCATATTACTGTCATAACATGGGCACAGCATCCAACAGTTTGACAGCCGACAGTACTTTTTAATTGCACTTCTACCAGAACCATTGCCACTAATTAAAATATATATAAAATACACTTTACGACTAATGGTGATGACTTGCAATTCTAGCCCTAAGTAAAGATCAGCTAGGGCTTAAGTTTATTCCTTCCATAATGCTGCTCCTCTGGTTATCACAGATTTCTATCAGGTAGCAACCATTAAATCTTATATGCTCACCATAATAGTAGCGAGCTTGCTTTAATTGGTATGTGACACAAGCAATTAATATTAATTCCCTGTAAGTTAAAACAGGAAATTCCCTAACATTTTAAAGTCTACATTTATATTTCTAAAGTCTGCCTGCCCTAGCTCTATTTATATTGCTTTCCCTAGCATACTCAGACAAATCATTATTTGTCTCCATATTTTGGTGAACTATTTCAAGTATTTGAGCCGCATTATCCCTGTCCCTTATTTTTGTGTGGAATTTATTAATTATAGCAGCAGCCACAGCAGTCTATCATCAAATGTGTAGAAGCCCTGTTATAGTAATTTTGATGAAATATTTTAAATTCAGTTTTAAAAATGCCGTTCACCACCTCTACTACTCATATCGACACATAGTCACGGCTCTCGATTTATTAGCATATCTTGTCATTAACTGAGATTCACCATCTGCTGGAGACATTGCTGCGGCCCTTAGACATCCACATCTATCCTCTATTACAAATCAAAATGCAGATGCGTTGTCACCAGTGAGGACTAAGATCATTTTCTCGTTTCCAGTAAAAAGGGTCTCCGGTTCTCTACACTCACCATACAAAACACAGCAGCATTAAGCTACTATTTTACGCTGGTATTCTGTGAGAGCGTGATCCTTCCCCGGTCGAGCTGACCCATTCATGCTACAACTATACTTCTAATATAACTGCAGCATTTCTCTACCATGTATAACACACGTACATAGTAATTGTAATCACAAAAGAGACATACTCGCAATGCTGATGGAACATTGAGAAAAAAAAAAAATCCATTGGAATTGTTACAACCAGGTAAAAAACATTGATTTGGTGTTAGTGGTGCTTTTAAATAATTAGTTAGCAGTACACTGTGTGATGTATGATCTAAGCTTTGTTGTTCTGGGTGCAATACATTACTCACTTCAGATTGCAACGAGGATGGACTAGATGATTCAGATGGTTCCCGTTCTGCAGTTGAATGTGATGCTGTTCTATCAGTTCATTGCCAGCAATTATGATACACACGGCATGACAATGGCAACTGAAATAATGTAAAATACAAAAAATTAAGTCAAAGTGAAAAAAATAGATTTATTTATTTTAAACTCAAATATAAATAAAATATTTATCAAGTTAAATGTTACTGCACAAGAATGAACTTAATACCCTATATTATTTAATAATTAAGACCTGACAAACTACCAGCAGTCCAAAAACAATGAAAAATCAACGGTCTCCTTTCTAGGTAGTTGATAAAAATGGTCAATCTCATAAATAAGCTAGTATGTTTGTCAGATATAGCTTGTGCAGATGTGAAAAAATAAAACAAGTTCTTGAGTTGATATACAATCAGTGTAAAAACATGTATAATTATCAGATATGAGCATCACACTTAATAAATTGAAAAATGTTAAACACTTAACTCCAAAATTATATCCAATTGTTAAGAGATCAACAATTGCATTTTCCAACAAAACAAAATAACACGATAACACGCAATGGAATTCTTGTGACATAACAGTGACGGGAGCCTACCTGTCAGATTCGATGTTGCCACTTAACTGTCATAAAATCTATGAAACGATATCGATTTTTATTCGATTAATAATATCATAAAAAGAATAATCTTTGACGCGTTTTAAGTTCTGCACGCTTTTTAAAATATAATTTCCTTTATTTATTGAAATTCTATTTCAAACGTATTTTAAGAACAGTTAACTTGTGCTGTATTGTTTTGTTATGCTTTAGAGAATTCATGGTAAATCAGCTACAATATTAACTTCTTGAATTATCATAACCATAATTCCATTTTAAATGATGTTAAGAACAGATAAGAATAACAGTTAAATTATGCAGTAGCGTTTTGTTATACTCTAAAGAATTCTTGGTAAATCAGCTAGTAATTCGCTTGTTTAATTATCATAACTATAAATGTGAAGATTGTCATCGATTTCAACCGAGCCTATAACAACGGTTGTTTTTGTTTTTAACGGTTGATTATCGCTTTTGATTACTTGAAATGGATAAAAACCCATTTTGTGCAATAAGTTTTTTCTCTTTGGTAATGAATAAAGCACAGAAACCCGTATAATGTATAATAGTCCTTTTTTTTTAGATACAAGTAGCACATTTTAAAGAACCGCAAAAACAACTTTGTTATTAACACAAACACTTTGAAAAACAAAATAATTTGTTGCTGGCGATAATGATAGTGGTATTTTGACTCGATTTAAAATATATGCTTGTTACTACAGAACTTTTCATGGGTCTAGTCCGACTCGCACTGAACCAGTTTTTTTCAACTTTTAGTTTTATTTTAATAAATAGTTTTTTCGTTTAAACGGAGCTCTTTTACTTTAGATTTATTAACTCTTTAGCTATAATAATCAATCTGAGTAAGTAAAGTGTGTAAATACGATTATTAAATTGTAATTGTATTTAGTTTTATTTATTTAGAAAATATTAATCTCACAATTAATTATTGTAATAATATAATTTTATCACACAACCAATGCCCTCATTAGCAATGTAATGGTGAAAGAATTTTCAAAATCGGTCTAGTAATTTTTGAGATTAGCCAAAAAACGTATTCACTGAAAGTAGCGCCCTCTATAATAAAATTCATCCTAAATACAAAATATACATAACAATCTGTGAAAGAATTCTCAATTGTCAAGTATTTTACTTTGATAGTAGCGCCCTCTATAATAAAATGCATCCTACTTTTAAGCACCATAACAAAAAACTATTCAACATAGCCTAACCCGCACATACAGTAAAAACATAACCATCCTTTTTAGTCTGTAGTCGGATAAACAACTGGTTGATAACGGTTGCGTATCGGCTGCTTTGGATAAATATCCATTGTCAACGGTCCTTTTAAATATATATCGTAACATCATAATAATTATCGAAAAATTATATTAGCATTGTAATAATGACACCATAAGTAATCGATTTTTTAATGAGATTTGTGATTGGCAACACTTTTTATTTTATTCACAAACTAATGAATTAATGATTTACCTAATTTTATTCTTATCTTTTCGGTACTTTTAATTTGTGCAAAAATATTCCCATCTTTTTAGGATAAATGAATGCCGCGATTAATAACCATAAATAAAGATATATTTTTTTAACAAATGCACATTGTTGGGCGTTCCATGGCCGAAAATGGGCATCCCCCTTTCCAGAATTTCAAGATATAATAGCGACAGCTGTAAGTATTTTTTTTAAATGATCTCTTTTTTTACAATAGACTCAACAGTTCACGGATATAGTTTTAAATGAACGCTTGATCTATACAACGCTGGTACGAGTAGTGTTTTAAACAGGCTAATAAAATCGAAACAATTTCTACTTACTTTAACAATTAAAAAACAAACAAAACGACTGCAAAATTTCAAAGCAATCGGTGATAAATCTTCAGTGACTTAAAACTGTATAGAAAAATTGTATACGCGTTCGTTTGATTTATTACCGTTTCTTCTTCTTATTTATTTATTTAATCTTCATTTTACACCTTATCTAAGGGATACAAAGGGCGGACTTAATGCCTTTAATGCCTTATGGCATTCTCTACCAGTCAATGCTACTTCTTCTTCTGAAATCAAATTATGAAAATAAAAAAACTATTTTTATAACTTTATTTATTTTAGCTAACGTGGTAAAAACTTGACATGTATAGGTTCGACGGTTCGCAGTATAATATCGGTCTTAAGCGTTGGTCGGGCCCCTTTCATTTTCGGCACCAGCCTGAAGTTTCGACAGATCTCGCTGAGGGCACATTTCATTTCCTGCATCGCGAATCGCTGACCTGTATATTAAGATTTATACTTTTTATTTAATGCATATAAAATGTTCGACTTTAATGCCATTTTTGAAACCCTTAGCGAAATAATGATTTCTTACGTTTACGCGAACACTACACATTTAAATGAAATGTTTTATTATAGACGTAGGGACATCAAACGCTTTAGTCCTCCCCCGTAACCATAGGTACTGTAAAGTAAATAAGTAAGATACAAAAAGAAAGTAATATACTCTTAAGGAGATTTTCACGAATTGGACTATTAAGTTGGGCCTCGTATTTTACTTTTGACTAAAAGAGAACCTAGACACTCTTTAACTGACTCATATAAATTCAATCTTAGACTATTTAAATCACACATATTAGCTATTAAATAAAAAACAAAAACCAAGTCCGAATAATTTAAAAGAATAAAATAATTTTACACGCTGACTTCACAATGTGAAATTATTATCTTTTTTTGTCTTTGTATATTTTTGTTTTTGTTGTTATTATTTTGTTGAATTGGTTTTTTTCTTTGATGTCGGCCTTAAGGTACAATAATATTATTGTAGTGTAGATCAGAATATCTTTTTCTTATTCTTGTTCATCAGGTCACTAAATTTTAATGCTTGTCATGGGCATCTCCCATTTAAGGTCGCACTGCTACTGCCCCATAATGATGAAATAAGGATTAATTATAATTAACCCAAACTTAAATAATGCAAAAGAAGTTTTTGAAATAATAAGTGTAATAAGATCTAACCTCATTTCTATTTATCTTCACATTTAGCAGGCGGATTGACTATTAAAATAACATTGCCGCACTGTTATAAAACTGAAATACGGATTAACTATCGACCGATGCCTAAATCACGCTAGTGAAGTTTTTTTAATTATAAATATAATAAGATATACCCACATTTCTATGTATCTTTCCTCTGTCTCCGACGAATTCACAAGTTACTTATGCTGTTGGGAGCTTAATACGCTACCCGTTCGAATGACTTACTCGTACCTTGAATGATATCTTTCTCTCATTGGTAATGTTTACACCATGGTTTGACTATGTTTTGCAAATGTTTTGCAATATTTTACCACAGTTGCATTATTGAGCAGTTTTCAGGATATTTTTTTTTCAATTAATTAAAACTAACCAATACAGTTTCTCGGTCCAGCACTGAACGGTATATAAGCATACGGGTGACGAACTTCTCCGTTAAGGAACCGTTCTGGTTTGAAGGCCTCTGCTTCCGGGTAGATGTCCTCACGACGATGCAGATCATATATATGTACTAGTATTTCAACGCCTTTCTTCACTGGCAAATCATCTAATAATAATAATAATAATTCATTATTTATTGTCAAAATATCTCACCGCGGAGTTATATTTAAGTTTTCGATTCTATTCATAATAGTCGTGCACTTAAAAGTTTTTGTGGTTTAGACGTGTATTGTTTAATAAAAAATTTATTACTTTGCAACCTTCCGCTAAATAAATACAATGATGTGTCTTACCTGGATTGAAGAGCACCTCCCGTCCTCCTTCAATTGCATGCACTAACTCCGTCACCACTAGTCCCAGCACCACTACTCCCAAAACCACTACTCCCAACAACACTATTCCCGGCACTACTACTTCCAACACCACTATTGCAGGTAAGACAAGTAAGTTACTTAGCGGTCAGTCGCCGTAGAGTCTACATCACCTGAGGATGCCTCGTGTAGAGGCGAAACACGGTGTCTTACTCGGAATGATGGTGTTGGAAGTAGTGGTGCCGGGAGTAGTGGTGTTGGAACTAGTGGTGACGGAGTTAGTGCATGCAATTGAGGGAGGGCGGGAGGTGCTCTTCAGGTAAGACACATCATTGTATTTAGTTAGCGGAAGGTGGCAAAGTAATAAATGTTTTATTATAATGGATTTCCGCAAAGTAACGCCTGCTTCTATCAATTAGTGTATTGTTTAATTTTTTCCCTAAGTGGTGATCTGGTTACCCATTACTATTTGTTACATACACAGAATTGTCTTGAAGAAAAAATGCTGCATAGCAATAGCCGGTGTAGCGGCGCTGTCGTCGCGCCACTAGCACACCGAAACACACCGAAGCCTAAATCGCGCTACTAACATTCCGAATCATAGACAGTATATATAGAACTTCTCCGAACTATCACATGGAGCGTTGGCCGCTCCCCGCGCAGAACACCTTGCTCGGCGGGAGATCTCCTCTTTTCCATCCACGGCCACACCAGCTTTATTTTATTTTTTCTCTACATTTGTAATTTTTTACATAATTAATTCTTTTGCCGTGTGGTAAAGGCGAAGAAGCATCCATCATTCTAGGTCCTTTAAATCATCAGCCCATGTCTATGAATAATGCTAAAGTCTTATTGTTTCCGATAGGTGGTATTTTCATGTCGTTTATGTCAGAAGCAAAAATTCAATTGTAAAATTTTACAGGCCGATGAATAAGAAGGAGAAAAACATTTCCTGCTGAACAATATAGAGTATTGTATTGTACTTTATTATATCGTATGGTATCTTATTGAATACGTGTTTCATTGGGCACAGGTTAAATTAGAACTACTCACTAGTACACTTCTCTGTATTTGAGCGTGAAACTTGTGGCACTACAATTTCGAGGAGGATGATATCATCATCATCATGATTATTTTTGAACCTAGATTATTACATAGTGAACTTTCCTGTCATTAAATACTTAATTTTTGCTATAGCAACCTAACATAAAGAAAATGAGTTAGAATGCATGAGGTCTTACTGGAATTTTTTATAGTTGCGAGTTACGACACCCACGGGGCGAAATGGGGTGACAGTTGTCTCACAGGAACAGACACTAGCTAGTAGTACCAGTTACTCGACTCCACCGAGTCAGTAATTCATTTTTGGGGCGATGTATACGCTTTTACAACAAAATCCCAGAAAATATACAAAATTTGTCTTACACAAAGTTCAAAAACTTTATTTAACTAAGTTTCAATAAAAAGGGTTATTATAATATTAAGGAATTTATAGACGATAATAACCCCTGGGAAGGGTGATCGCTACCAAGCTATTTCTAATTTGTTTTGTGTTATTAATTTTAACATACATGATCGTAAGCTGTTATTTCAAAAACTAATCCCGCTGAGTTTCTTGCAAGTCCTTACCAGGACGGTTCGGTTTTTTTTCCGAACCAGTGGTAAATGAAAAAAGTGACTTTCAATAAGTTTCTGTTTCTGTTACACTGTAAATTTTATTATGAACTTAGCGTTAATAGAAATGTACGATAGTTTACAAATATTCCTGTACAACACACAATTATTTTAAAACGGATTATCTCTGTCTTTTAACCTTTGGTTTCTCAATCATGAAACAAGTTCATAACATGTCAACTCACCCAACATAAAGTCTTCAGTAACCTTTCTTCCAATGAATGGTACACTAGGATAAAGCCGTAATGTCTCCTTGATGGTCGCTTCTAGATATTTCATCTCCGCTAAATCGGACCAACTCGGCTTTCGGTCCGAATCGCCAAATATAGTTTTACACTCTTCGTAAATTTTCTCCTGTATTTAAAGTTCCTTTTATTTATCTAATTTTAATGTGTTAAAAATATGAATTTACAAATTTAATCTACATTAAAATGAGCCATACCTGAACTTCTTCGTGATCAGCTAACAACATGAGGCCATAAATCAGAGCCATGGCGGTAGTATCATGGCCCTAAAAATAATACATTAAGTGTACCATTACCTATGCATATATAAATTAAATCGAAATATCTGTCTATAATATAGAAATAACTGGCATCTTTTCTGGTTATATGCGTGTTATTAATTATCATGTTTCATATGTTTGGGGGTCCGTCCGTCTATCCGAGATAAGCCTATGATATTGGATATAGGGGTCTCTTACGCCAACACTACATGTAAAACGACTTGCACAAGACATAAAACATTAGCCAAAAAGGATATTGGCACAAAACCTGGGAAATATACCTTACAACTTTAACGCAAATATTTATAAAATTGTTTTTTGGACAGTGTCACATGTTTTGTTGGCATTAAAAACTTAAGATAAAACCTTAACTTAAAACTCCTCTCCTCAGAACAAAAACTTATCAACAAAATTTAGACATAAAAATCTATATTTTTATTCATTCATAAAATATAATATCACCTTACTTCAAACATGAACGTATTTACTTCTTCACGAATTCCTTCCATATTTATTTCTCCTTTGTTCTCGGCTTCAATCAGTAAATCCAAAAAGGCGAGTCGTTTTTTAGTATCTTCGTCAGCATTTTCATCGAAATTCTGTATCAATGAACTATCATTTTGAATTATCTTCCTTTTCCTCTTCATAATAACATTATCCGCAAATGAATGGACTGTATTCAAGCATTTGACAAATTGTTTCCCCAATGTTGTCTGATAAAACACTAAATCGGCACGAAGCCAAAATTTAGTAAGACGGCTTACAACTAGGTTACCAATTTGCTTAATCGATTCTTTGTATTCAACGCTACTTGTAGAATTATCAAAATCGAGCTGGGTTCCCATTGCTGTTTCTGTAATATATTAAACAGATTTTTAATTCGGCACATTTAACATAGTTGTAATATACAAAGTTTACAACAATTGTCCTACAAATAGTTTTAAAACTATTTCTAATTATACAAACTACTTATTTACACGTACTTTGATCGAAGCTTTTGTATTTTCGAAACTACGTATAAATTTCTGCTATTTTAGAGTCTTAGATTTGTCTCCACGTTAATATTTTTTAAACAAAAACTATACCAACCGCAAATTGTGTAGAGCGTAAAGTCGCTGATAACAGGAAAAAGATCCACATATTCCTCAGGCATTTGTTTTAGCCTATTTACCAGGTCACGACTTTTCTCTTCAAACACTTTTGAAAAATTCTTTAGTATATTGAAGTGGAATGTTGGGGTTAAAATTTTCCGACGTTGATGCCATTTGCTACCTCAAAATAAAACATAAAATAAAATTAAACATATTTATATAAACGAAAACGAATATTATGTCAATAAATGCTATATTTTGTAAAAAAAATGAACAATGATGATGAAAGTCTATGACTATTCACTTACTAATTTAAATATTTATTTATTGCTCATTATATATTCATTTAATTTATTTGTTCAGTGGAAAAAGAAGGTTGTTTCCTGTGACTAAATTAACCTATATGGTTTATCTGCATTTTTCGGAAATGACTGGTACCCCCTCCCCTATCCAACCGCTTCTCCTCCCGTGCGGTCTTATCGCGTAGGTGGCAGAATAGTCGGCTTAGGGAATTGTCAATAAAGATTATTATTATTATTTATCATTGAAATGTAAGTATTATGCCAAGCGGAACGTATTAACTTCTATATACATCTTACTACTAGTAAATAAATATGAGCGCAACCAATTGTTGAATAAAAAAGAGATATGCAATTGGAAAGGTCCTAACAGTGGTCTTCTTTTGGCTGAAAGGGAAGATAGTAAAAGAATAATATTCTGTAACAATATATGAATTAACATCGTAAAGTCCTGCGAAAAACACAACCTCTCTTAATATTTGCCTTAAGTGTTCGCTTCCGCATCTGTGTCCCTAATTTTTAATTCCAGATGCTCGTAACTAAAAAATTTGGTACACAGATTACTCTCACCTGTACTTATCAACAATCCAGTCCCGAGCCATGGTTCAAGAAATGAGTATGGCATAGTTTTCGTAATATTTCTTGAATGCGATAATACAATCTGAAATGAAATAAGTTAGGACTGTTACTTGCGATTTATACCTTATACGCCACCACAGTCTAACATAATACCATCGTGAAGTAAAAGTCTCCATGTCTTCTACGTTTTCTGTGTTAAGAACATGTAACCCTTCCCTCCAAAACATGGTAGCGGAGTTAAATAAATATGTTACCCCAGGAGAGTACCGTCATCAATATCTCTGCAGAATCCGTCACTGAGCATCCATGTCGAAACTATCCTACTACTTCCGAGTGTGGGTGCTCAGGCTGTGTCACTTATTTGTCTGCTGATCTCTCATCTGGACATATATCGGGTCTCCGTCAATGCCCCTCCTCAGAACATTGTCCAATCCGAAGTATGGTGTCACTAACGCTCCAAATGCAAATACATTCCGCAGACTGCCACTATAACTGACACTATCTAATTATTTTTAGGTTTATATTGTCTATAGTTTTTTTAGCATCCTGGGGACAGCGTTGTTTATCGCCAGATGATCTCAGCGTTGCTGTTTTGTTCCATTATATGTAGTGCTCATCATAAGCAGATCACAGCTTTGGTTTTGTAGCTCCTGTGGAGTTGCATCAAATAAGCTGGAGTGCTACCAATCCTGAGTTGACTAATCGATGTCTCGGAACTCAAATACCAGAGCTCTTAAAAAGAAGTATGATTCCGCCTTCAGGTTCTGTATAAGAGTCAATGCCAAGGTAAAGCCAGAGTACACCGACAGAATTGCGAGAAGCTAGTTTCACCTTCATTCGAAAACTCGTGCATTCTGAAGCCAATTTTTTATGCTCTCTCTTTGTTTCCAATTCAATCGAATGAACGGCAAGAAGAAGAGGAGGATTTGGTGGTTAGTTTGGACATAGCGACGTCCTTGGATCGGATTTGGCACAAAACGCTGCTTTCGAAGCTTCCTTCATATTAGCTTCCCAAGAAATTGTGCAATTAGACCACCAGCTTCATTGCATATCAAAGCATCAAGATAGTAGTAGATGGTGAATGCTCCGACTATAAGCTTATGAATGCTGGTGTTACATAAGGTTGCGTGTTACCCACGTTGTACCTGTGCATATCAATTATACGTTACAAACCGCTAACATTCCTTACTATGCGGATGTCAGCACTAGTTATGGTTTTAACACCGGATGAGCAAATATTTCTAGGGAACTCTTACATGAGTGCCTAAACAAACTTGTGTCTGAAGTCGAGTCTTAGTGACACAAAGTCTAGGAATAGGATCGACTAAATCTAGTTCAGTTTTACCCCAGAGGACACAAGTTTGTGCGTTTACGGCTAAAAACGATAAAGGGAACCCCTTTATCGTATTTGAACAATTTCAGGAGGCTAAACTTGCTGCCTCATCCAATTTCGGAATATTTGACGTTGATATAACGAATGACGTTCTCTAAAAATCTTGGCCTGCTCAGTTGAGTGAGGCAATATTTCATGCCGACACACCGCTAACAAATTTTCAAACCCCCAAATTCGGCCTCACAAGGAATAAGGTATTGAAAGTGTTTTATTGAAACTACCATATACTTATTAGAATAACTAACTACATAGTAGTAGTTACTCTAATATGTGGTACTATGCACGTAGGAAGGGTATCAGTAATAATCTAAATATTAGATTGGGCTTACTGACACCTCTACACAATTTTGTTTAAGTTTTTAGTGGTATCTTGAATGCTGGTGGATTTTTCCTCCTGTATGATTATTTATATTATAGCTTAAAGATACTTTAATAGGTAAAAGTGGTGCGATTTTGTATATGCGCATGTGGAACACAATTTCAATAATAATATCTTATTATATATATATACAATATTACAAGATTATATATATAATCTTGTAATATTGTTGCACAACTAGTGGAACAATATTACAAGTGCTTCAGTGTCGATGTGAATCCCGCGGATTTTGTCCGCTTGAGCACGTTCATCATCTCCGCTGGTTAAAGCATGGTCCGCTGGTTAAAGCTTCGTCAATATCTGTGTGATCGGTGTGTTGTGAAAAATGTAACTAATCAGCAGGTTTTGAAAAGTATAGTGTAGATTACAATACACATCAGACAAGGCTGGAGATACTAAAGCCTTTGCCTGCTGTAATTGGCAAATCGTAAAAACAACAAGTATTTTATTTAAACCATCAATCCATTCGGTAGAATCTACCAGTTAGTCTGTGCATCAAGCTTTCAAAACATGAAGAGCACGGTGGTAGACTGCCAATCCTTAAAATAACGTGAATAAAAAAGCATAGAAGATACCTCTATATCCCCTACGTTGTAGATATGTATAATACGCCGACCGAACACCTTGATCACGTATCGGTACCCATACTTTTTTGGAAATTCAAGCATCATATTAAAGAGGTCAACTGAAATAAAGAATAGCCATTTTTAAATGAATTTACAAATTCACCTCTCAATAAACTATACATATAAATAAGATTGAAGTGTCTTTCAGTAATATTGAAGTAACTCTTATGCTATAGTGTTTTATGCTCAGTTAGGTCTTTTATGTTATGGAGACATAAATAATCATTTTCAAAAATTTTGTCTGTCTGTATATCCGCGCTAATATTCGGAATAGTTTAACCGATTGTGTTGAAACTTCACAAACAGACAGAGTGCAATGTCAGGAGGGATCTAGCATATTTTTATCAGAAAAGCTTGAACATTTTTTGAAAAGACAAAAAATTGATAAAAAAAAGGTCTACCTTAAATCTAAATAACGCCTCGTTATTAGATCCTATACAGGCGCAGAAAGGGCGGGTCCATAGTTTATTAAATATTTTTATAAAGGTACTGAATCTTTTATACACTCTAAATAATATTATATATTCAGCATATATTATGAAACAAGCTTCTTTAAGCGTCTAATCGTTTTTTGCGTCTATAAATGAAAAATATAGAGTTTAAAATCCTGAACAATTTTCTCTTCAGTCATACACTTTCAGACTGCAAGAAGTCAGGAGTTAAAGATATTCTAGTTTGCACAAAAATCACATCGGACTAAGCTGTAGCCTGCCTTAATTGACAAATCTTTACAACAACATTTTATAGTCATTAGTCAGTCACATGAGTAAATTTGTACCATAGATTACTGTTTGTACGTCGTACGTCGCGCATCGTGCATGTTTTCTTTTCTCGTTTGATTTAAAATATAAAAGAGTGTAAATATGATTTAGTGTACTGTGTGTATGACCAATAATAGAACGTGTATACACAATTAATAATAGTTATTAATAGCATTTGTAATAATATTGTAACTTGTTCAAATCAAATTAAATCAATAAAAATTTATCATTTTTTAAATAACCCAACGACCACCTTATGTGATTAGTACTTGAAATTCGTAAATATTTTGATTTTTAAATAATCATTGTTAATATATTGTGACATACTAAAACATAACATAAACACTCACGCCTGTCACCCAGAGGGGTAGGCAGAGACTACAGATTTCCATTTGGCACGATCCTGACATACCTCTCTCGCCTCCTTCACATCCATACACCTACGCATACATGCTCGTCGGTTAAGGGTACTCCTAATTTGGATTTTTTAATACTAATACTAATTTTTTTAATACTAAAACGTGTACAAGCTTTTATATGCCATGTGCGTGCTTTCCATAAAAATTATATAACTTTATATTACATTAGATATGTTTCATAAAACAAAACGGCACAACAAATTATTCAAAAAGAAAAACATTGATATGCCATGAGCTTAATTAGATAATATACTAAATTATTTTATTGATATCTGTAATGGTGACATAAGTGGACGCTTAATAATTTCATCAACAAATTGCGACAACAACTAGGTAGTCAATTTAGTTTTAAATTATGTAAGATGATTTTTTTCCAGACTTCGATAGGGCATAAGCTGGATTAGATAAAACATAGCAAATTATTATATTGATATATGTAATTTTGACATAAGACATTTAATAATTCCACCAACATTTTTTTGCCATTGCCTTATCAGCGTAATCATATATCAGCAAAGACATACGAAGCTGGTAGTAACATACTCACTATGAGACATCCCAATAAAATTCAAAGCGCTTCCAACGATGGGCCATTTCGGTGGCCCTGGAAGTTGGTCCAATGGGTTTTCTTCTTCATTAAACATGAATTTCCATATTACAAAAGCTATTAATACAGCCAGTCCAATTATCAAAAACATTTTGTACTCCAAGTAGCTCTAGTAGGTGACCTGAAACATTGACAGCATCATCATCTGATAAGTACACTGCTGAACACAAGCCCAGCTAAAGGAATAGGAAAAGCACGGTTCAGGGCAACGCGTGGACAGCGATCACGTAAACATATCGACACTCGCTCATCATGCTTTCGGATGTTCAAATTAACCATTTCACTGTCCCATGAGTCTTATATGAACATTTCGATTGTTTAACTATTGTATCTTTTTCGCGGACAGGGAAGTTGTTAAAGTATATATTGTGATAATATCAAAGATAAAATTCTATGCAATGTTAGAGAGCATAGAGAATCGTACTGCCAGACCCCAAAACTTATATGATGAGACACAATGGATTTAGTTTTGATTAGAATTTAGATTAGAATACGCGAAAATTCAAATATACCGAAGGTAGTCATTTTCTATTCTTAATAAATTGTAGCCGGTTAGTTACAGATTGTATAAGTCCCACAGCTGGGCACAGGCCTCCCGCTCATTTCTGAGAGGGTTTTAGGGCAAAGAATTGTTCACCACGCTGCCCCAATGCGTGTTGGCGAACTTCACATGTCTTCGAAATATTTTTTTTCTTATTTTTCTGACATGCAGGTTTCCTCACGATGTTTTCCTTCACCGCCGAACACGTGGTAAATCAGCACTTAAAATTGCAATTAACGATCTCATTGGTGCCGGCGAGGATCGAACCCAGTTTGCTCGCGTACTGTGAAATTTACAGCGCGCGCTAACCATCTGAGCTACCACGGCTCTTTGAGCTATCACGGCCCAGTTGTACCCGGCATGCATTACAATTCCTTTTTTGTCAGAAAAAATTGTGGACGTGCCGGCAACAATTCAACAAGTTTTCATCATAATCAAATGAATGGATATGCATAAATATGTTCGAAACGAGCTCACTACTTTTTATGCATATAGACTGCTATTTTAGTGATATGTCTCTTCTCTCGAACTGATGACCTACGCTGCTTTAAGTAATAATGCTGTCGGTTAAAAAAAGAATAATTTTCAATACTTTTTTTCGAAGCATTACTACCGATACTTTAAATTTCTTTGACCCCTTTCGCTCAAAGGCTCAAAGAAGTTGAAATTAAGTAAATAAAGTAAGTTTAAGTTACAGAATGCCTATTTACACCACGATACAGTAAAGCTTAAATAGGTGTAAAATAATAAATAACTACTCTGAGCAGCTTCACTGGACAACTTCAAAGTTTGGTTCAGCTTACGCATCCGTGTACTTCAGATTTCTATGTAAGCTGCGAAAGAGCCTTTTGTCTATCGTTACACCCTGGTATCGGGAAGTCAGTGATCTTTAAGTTTTTTCATAATTACAATCGACTGTGTTATTGGCATAGCTGTGAATCCATGCACTAGTTAGTAAGCCAGCTCAGACTAACATCCCTGATACCCATCAATTCTAACTTCCTCGAAAGGATCGGGACGGTTACAGTGTTAACATTATAATATATAAAAAAATAATATAACACTGACTGCCTCGTTGGTCTAGTGGTTGTAGTAGTGTGACTGCTGATCATGAGGTCCTGGGCTCGAATCCCGGGTCGGGCCAACAAAATCAATAATTGAGTTTTTCCATCCAGAAATTCTCAGTAGCTGCCCGGAGTCAGGAATTTAGCGGTGTCTCACCCCCGTGCTTCGGAAAGCACGTAAAGCCGTTGGTCCTGCACCTGATCTCTCTCCGGTCGTGTAGGTTTACCGTCCCATTGGATTATGAGAGTGAGGAAATAGAGAGTGCACCTGTGCTTGCGCATACACTTGGGCACTATAATCCTGTCCTGCGCCGACGGCTAGCCTCCGTTGAGCAGGCCGCCGTGGCCCAAATTCGGTCTGGAGGTTGATGAAACATTTTAAATATAATACACAAATATGCTAGTATCCGAAACTTACCAGTGAATTAAAAACAAATCTATACAAATAATAAGTAACTAACTGATAACTTTATTGTATAACATGGGTGCAGCAAAGTACTTGAAACGTCGCGTCGGGAATAAATGGACATAAGATAATTAAACGCGATAACATCTCTAAAAACTGGTTTTATTCAAGGAGATAATTGTTATTGCAAATGTAAATGACCTTTATTATCCATTCGCTTCGCTGTGCATAAATTATAATTTAATAATGATTCTTATAAACAGTATCCTCCTATGTACTATTTTATGACTATTATGGTTATTAGGTACGTCGCGGTCATACCTAATCGACTTTTTTGTCTAATGCCATAATAAGAATCCATCCAACCGGTCTAGCGTGATCAAAGGTCAAACATTTACACAAACATTATATATCCCTTTTGTAATATAGCAAAATATTACCTACTTGTGGTGTTATACAAGCAAAATATTCTTTACTTGTGTACTTGGTAGAGTCGCGCTATATTATGGTTGTACCACGAATGGGTCGGCTCGACCGGTTACGGACCACGCTCTCACATAAAGGCAGCTTATAATATGCTGCTGTATTTCTTATATGCGTATAGGACCGGAGGCCGTTTTCACTAGAAACAATGCATTCCATCTTAGAACAGTAAATCGATGATAGATGTAGATGTCTATGGGCCACAGCATCCACTTACCAGCAGGTGGACTGTTTGCTAGTTTGTCATCCTCATTGCATAAAAAATGTACTGTGCTATTAATGTAAAACGACTGATATGAAGATGACATGATGATTCAAAACGAAAACAGCTAAACTCATATAAAACAAAGACGCGAAAGCTATTTTCTTTGCAATATTTGAATAAAATTGTTATATTCACATATTGCATAAGTAATAAAATATCGCGTATTCATCATCATGATCATCATCATCATCATCATCATTACAGCCCTTCATCGCGTATTCATTTATTACTAATTTCTAGAAAAACAATTATTATTATAATATAATGTTTATCATAACAATTCGTTCTTATCATAACTAAACATCCATAAAACTGTCAAGAGCTGAATATTTTGACTTTACTAAGTTCTAATAAATTCGTACACATTTCTATTAAAAAGAAACATTTACAAAAAATACTTACAAACAATTACTAGCTATTTATGACGCTTAAAAACAACAACAAACTCCAAATAACATCTGACAGCGACTGCTAATGTACGTACACTGTCTAGTTATCCGTGACGTACACTGTGCTATGAGATATACACAGAGGCGTCGCTTGAGTGGGGCATTAGGGCCCGGTAGTTTACAAAGGGGGCGCGCAAAATCACCAATTAATAAATGTAAAAATCATAATAAACCACAATAAACCAGTTAACTTTAAGAATTCGTTCCGAGATTACCACGTTTTGCGAATGAGACAGGAAACTAGTTTTGCTCGCAGGCAGTGCACTTGCGCGTTCGAATTCGACTCGACAGAATTAGATTGAGTTTAATTTCCGAATGGCGTTTAGCGCTCTTGACAACAAGGCGCAAACTTGTCTTAAAACACTAAAAACAAAGGAGTGGATTTTATATTCTTTATTTTGTAAATCGAATGCATAGTTAAATTGATTTAACACATTTAGCTACACGGATATTTAGTTAAATTCACAATATTAACCCTAGAGTAAATAATAATAAAATTTATTATTATATAATACTAATTATCACCTGGGAGTCTACTTAATAAATAAAACAAAATTACAAGAACAACTAAAAACCATTCTAATCATCACATTGTTTTCTGTAGACTAAGTCAAACTTAAACTTCTAAGTTTATCACGGGAATAGCAGTTAGGAACTGGTAAAACTGGCTCTGTGTTTCTGGATGTTAACGGTATTGGAGAGCTTCGGTTTTGAGGATCAAGATCCTCTAGCACAGTATTTTTAGGTCATTTTCTGGTCTGTTTGGAACGAAAGTAGGACTTCTAAATAATCCTCGGTCTCACTGTCAGAGACGTCCTCTAGTAAGAAATGTGCGATCTGCTCCTCTTTGAGGTCCATCTATTAAATAAAACATAAAATTACCTTGGTTTCTACAGTATTGGAGCGACTTCCTTTAAATACATGATTTGTAAATAAGTTTATAAGAATAGAATACTTAAAGTTACAGCCTATATACGTCCCACTGCTGGGCACAAGCCTCCTCTCATTTCTATGAGGGTTTTAGGGCAAGGAAGTGTCCGCCGCGCTGCCCCAGTGCGTGTTGGCGAACTTCACATGTCTTCGAAAAAAAAAATTTATTTCTCAGACGTGCAGGTTTCCTCACGATGTTTTCCTTCACCGCCGAGCACGTGGAATAGAAATACTTAATTTAGTTAATATATCTACATTGGTAATTGTAAATATTGTTTTATAAATAAATTTATTTTTAAAGTGCCCAAAGAAGAAGAATTTTTCGCGGCGACATTCATAAGTGAAATTGAAATAATTATGAATTTTTATATTATAAAAATTTGGAACGACCAACATGCTCTCGTTACTTTTTTGATAGTTTTTAATACCTATATAATTTTATTGTTGCATGTGTTTATTAAGTAGGTGATGTTGAATTTTATAATTATGTATTACAATCCGTATGTATTAAATTGCCGTGTAGTGGCGGTTAAGAATATCCACTACCCCATATCTTCCCGTGGGTGTCGTAAGAGGCGACAGAGGGAGACAGGCAGGAGATGGGCAGCAGCGTCTTCCTGATGACAACTGTGACGTAATAAAAAACTGCGGTTGCCAACCCGCTCGCCAAGCGTGGCAACTATGGCAAATACCCCCCAATGAATAAATACACAAACAGACGGCCCCCAGTCCCCGGCGGCCCCGCTATTCCTGGCTACGGTGGCGACCATGGTAACGGCGGGGCAGGGGGTGCTAAGAATCTCCGGTGGAGGTTCGGTTGCCACCTACGACGACTCGACCTGGCAACATATAACGCACGCACCCTGAGGACTGACGAGAAGATACTGGAGCTGGAAGAA